TTTGTCACACAAAATGTTTCTGATCATCAAACACATTTAACCATTAGTCAAAGAAAACACAAGTAAACACAAAATGCAGTTTTGAAATGACGGTTTTTATTATTTAGGGAGAGAACAAAATCCAAACCTAAATTGCCCTGTGTGAAAAAGTAATTGCCCCCCTTGTTAAGAAATAACCCAACTATGGTGTTTCACACCTAAGTTCAATTTCTGTAGCCGCCCCCAAGCCTGATTACTGCCACACCTGTTTCAATCAAGAAATCACTTAAATATGAGCTGCCTGACACAGAGAAGTAGACCAAAAGCACCACAAAAGCTAGACATCATGCCAAGATCTAAAGAAATTCAAGAACAAATGAGAACAAAAGTAATTGAGATCTATCAGTCTGGTAAAGGTTATAAAGCCATTTCTAACGCTTTGGGACTCCAGTGAACCACAGTGAGAGGCATTATCCACAAATGGCAACAACATGGAACAGTGGTGAACCTTCACATGATTTGGCGGCCGACCAAAATTACCCCAAGAGCGCAGAGACAACTCATCAGAGAGGTCACAAAAGACCCCAGGACAACTTCTAAAGAACTGCAGGCCTCATTCGCCACAATTAAGGTCAGTGTTCACGACTCCACCATAAGAAAGAGACTGGGCAAAAATGGCCTGCATGGCAGATGTCCAAGATGTAAACCACTGTTAAGCACAAAGAACATTAGGTCTTGTCTCAATTTTGCTAAAAAAACATCTCAATGATTGCCAAGACTTTTGGGAAAATACCTTGTGGACTGATGATACAAAAGTCAACCTTTTTGGAAGGCAAATGTCCCGTTACATCTGACGTAGAAGTAACACAGCATTTCAGACAAAGAGCATCATACCAACAGTAAAATATGGTGGTGGTAGTGTGATGGTCTTGGGTTGTTTTGCTGCTTCAGGAACTGGAAGGCTTGCTGTGATAAATGGAACCATGAATTCTACTGTCTACCAAAACATCCTGAAGGAGAATGTCGGCCATCTGTTCGTCAACTAAAGCTGAAGCGATCTTGGGTGCTGCAGCAGGACAATGACCCAAAACACACCAGCAAATCCACCTCTGAATGGCTGAAGAACAACAAAATGAAGACTTTGGAATGGCCTAGTCAAAGTCCTGACCTGAATCCTATCGAGAAGCTATGGCATGACCTTAAAAAGGCGGTTCTTAGAGACCCCTTAAATAAAGCTGAATTACAACAATTCTGCAAATATGAGTGAGCCAAAATTCCTCCAGAGTGCTGTAAAAGACTCGTAGCAAGTTATCGCAAATGCTTGATTGCAGTCATTGCTGCTAAGGGAGGTGCAACCAGTTATTAGGTTCAGGGGGCAATTACTTTTTCACACAGGGCAATGTAGGTTTGGATTTTGTTCTCTCCCTGAATAATAAAAAACATCATTTCAAAACTGCATTTTGTGTTTACTTGTGTTATCTTTGACTAATGGTTAAATGTGTTTGATCAGAAACATTTTGTGTGACAAACATGCAAAAGAATAAAAAATCAGGATGGGGGCAAATGGTCTTTCACACCACTGTAGCTAATAAGCGGTTTCTCATTAATATTTGTAAGTATTTCTTTGACCCACTTGAATACATATATTTTATAATTTATTGTGAATATGTATTAAATACAAGCAGACCTTAATTCTCAAAGGTGAAACTGTCTTTTTTTATAATTCAAGCATAGGTTAAAGGTCAGGGTTAGCAACAGAGCAGCACTCTTGCTCTCAGCCCATCTGCTCCCAGGTGTTCCTGCTTTAAAAATGCAGCATGAATTTTACATTAAGACTGGGATTCCAAGCCTCCAAACCACATTAACAACTTTATTTCCATCCAGTTTTGCTGCTGGAAATTAAACTCGACCCAACTAATATTTAATTTGCACCAACTCTCTGATTGTCACACGTATATACAACCTAATTCATGATTCATTGTTATGACAACCTTGTTACATCATTTATTTCCATCTAGATCTTTTCTAAACCACTAGAGAGTTGAGTCACTGGGAGAAATAATCACCAGCACAGATCTGGTCTCTGTGGTTTCTAATCCACAAGTGAAAACCAAGTCTTGTTTCAAACTCCCTGAGCTGCTGCTTCACTGTTTGAGTCAGATGAATCCTGATTTTGTCTATTTGTAATATTTCAATCAAGGAAGAACAAAATAGCCTTGATGATAAAAAAAAATAAATGAAAAAAATAAAAATTTGTTTATTACATCCAAGGCCCTTTGAGTTGTTTTTGTAACAGACTGGTTAGAATGCTCATGTTTTACATGTTAGGCATCATAATTTAGCTTTTGTTTTACAAATAATTCTACCAATTTGTTAAACGCTATCTAATATGATACAGAATATTTTTAACCACATGATTACTTGTGAAAAAAACAGGTTTTACTGTAATTGAATATAAATGCAAATATATTGTGTTTTTTCCCAATACTTGAAGGTTTTATTATCTAACTGGTGATTTTTGACCTCATTTTAATATTAGCAGTTGTTTTGTTTATGTATAACAGACAAAAACAAGATTCATTAGAAACACAATCACTGAATCGTAAATGGAAAGTTTTAGGAAAATAGCTTGTTATGGTTTTTTGTTTTCTATTTTTGAAATAGATGTGTATCACAATAATAGGGGTTAAATTATGGAACAATTTAGAAGAAGAAATCAAAGTAAGTACAAATATAAATGTGTTTAAAATGAATTATAAAAAACATATTCTGAACAAGTATATAGTGGAAAATAGATGATTTATGTGGGTGTCCTTTATTCCAAGAAAAAGTAAATTGTATCAATTGTAAAAATATGTTTTTTTTTCTTTTTTGTTTTTTTTTAAATATAATTTGGGGGTTTTTGGTGACTTGTACCATTTTGTTTGTTTTAATGTAGGTTTTGTGTTAGATTTAGTAAACAAGTAAAAATAACTTGTATAAAGGGGTAGGGATATATAAGTTTCCACTTCAGCCTACTCCTTTTCAAACACAGAAGAAGGGATGATATGTATTTTTTCTGTTTGTGGTATTTTTTTTAAAAATTATGTATGTTTTCTTTGTTTGAAATAAACTAAACTAATAGAAATGCTATATAAAATTGAACAATATAAATGTCCCATTTATATAGTTTAGTGGAGGTAATTTCATATCTATTCACAAATTAATGTTTTCAATCCATTATTTGCTTCCCAAAATAAAGTGGAATGCTTTATTGACATTCACATGTGCCTTTTGTAGAGAAAAAAACAAGGGAAAGCACTTTCATTAAGAGTATTTTAAAAGGTTTGCAGCAACATCTAATAAAGTTGAACAGTCAAAGGCCCAATCTCTCCCTAAAGAATTAAAAAGTATCTCAGCAATCATTTTTTTCTCCAGTAAACTGGTCCACAACCACAGCAACCCTGAGAGTAAACACATCATTTGCAGACCAGTATAAAACACGTGCACCAATATAAATGCATGCAGGCTGCTGTAATTGGGCTCTGTGGGCTTGACTGTTTGTTTATGTTCTTCCGTTAAATTCACACATGTTCTACAAGCAGCACAAATTAGGGGTTGATGTAACATTTGGTGACCAAACTACGGAGAGGTCGGCCTCTGTAATTGGAGAAACTCAACTTAAACTCTATAGCACCAACTCTATGATGTTGCGTTGTCGTTTAGGGACTTCTGGAAAGCCAAGAAGCTGGATAGAAAGTTTAAATGCTAAATTGCACTTTGAGCCCAGATGTACATTATCTGCTGACTGTCCTGAAATCCCTGTACATCCATAGCAGCGTACAAGTCTGTCCCACAATGCACCTAAAGCCACCTCCATCAACCTGAGGCAGTCCAGCCCAGAGCTGCAAGCATTATTAAAACTATCTTTATGCAACATGGAGCAGTGTGTTGCAGCGATAATGATGATGGAATACGGTTGAATCTGAAACTCTGCAGATTTTCTTTTTTTCTATCTTGCACCAAGTTTCAAATTTGCAGTTATGCCTGCATGTGCTGAATCAAACCTAATGCTTGCCCTTTCCTAATGTCAGACATCTTGGAAATGCAGCTGAAATATCAGAGTTTATCAAAGTCCAAGATGAATTAAATCAGGCTAAAACAAAAAAAAAAAAGGAATATTCTAGGGATGCTTGATATTGTCTTATTTTTTTGACCAATATCCAATATCTGATTTTGTCTAACTCTGATACCGATATAAACTAATACAGATTTATGCAGGGTTCCCCCTAATAAAACAAAAAAAAAAAAAAAAAAAAGAAAAAAAAAAAAAAAGAAAAGGTTCCTAACATATCCTACCAAGCAAGTTCAAGCTTTAAAAATTAATGTTTGGGTGTGTCTTGAAGTTAATTAGTTGATAAAATTTAAGCAGCGTGAGCGTAACATGCTTTGCAAGGCTAATTGCTAAGCACGACGATAAGATGTGTGTATTAGCCAGTAATATAATTTTCTGTTTCTGTAAATTGTAGTTATGGAGATAAAACATTTGTAAAGATTTTTATTTAAGAAAAGCAAGCCTTGGGTGAAGATTTTTGTGCTTGTTTTAGTTGTTTGCAAGCTGCTAGCAACACATAGCTGCTATAATGAAAGCAGATCCTCTATACAGGGCAAATTCCTAATAACTCATAAGTTAGGTCAATGTAAAACTAAAATATCTAAAACACTAAACTCTTTGACCATTTGAAGTAAAATATGTGTATGGTATGTAAAAGTTGGGCCACTAAAGGAGTAAAAAATGATACCGATATTAAATCTAAAGCCAACATCCGCCAATAATATCTGTAGACCTATAATATCGGACATCTCTAGAATGTTCCAGAATGAAATATTTCCTATAAACAAATAAAACTAACAGGACTGATAGTAAATCCTTCAGTTTATGTGGATCATTTTCAATTTGTAAACTAAAGCACAATTGAAAATCAGAATGATTCATCAGTCCTACATGGACTCAGATTTCAGACATCATTTGGAGAAACCAGTTTCATTTTCACATACACATTTTATTTTGCATCAATGTATTGAAAAAAATGCACCTACTGTATGTGGCTGTGTATTCCTGAGGGCAAAAACCAATCTGTCATGTACAGATCATGATCAAGAAAAACAATCAGAACAGAAGCATTCAAACAGGTATGAAGGCATTTCATTCTGAATCTCACTGCTGATCAGCTGCATTTTTAAAACTTTACAAAAGATCTTTGAACTTTCTATGCCAATAAAGCCTTTTAAATAGTTTTGAAGAGAGTGTAAAATCACAGCCATCTGTCAGTCTTGGAGGGAATTAGAAAAGCATATATGTTCAACATCACATGTGGCCGTGTTAAATATTGCATTGTTTTTGTCTGCAGGTGAATATAGGTCACTTTATTGCACCTGTCTCCGCCCCAACAGCATAATGCACGGACCACCAAGTCACTTTTACTTCCTCATATCCCTTTACTGTCATATTGTCTTCTGAATATTGCACATCCTCATTTCACGTGATCTAACAGGAAAAGAAAGAAGATATATTATTTATTAGGGGTTTCTGTGTTGTAACGGCAGAGAAGAAGCTATTGTTTTGAAGTGTTGCATTGGATATCAACGCTAATGCATTTCCAGCCGTTGTTACTGTAATGTATAACAGGACCCTCTGCAATAAATATAACACACCATCAGTTATTTTTGGCATATTAGTTCCAACTGTCTATTAGCATTTGTTCCCTCCTCGTAACACTCAGCATTTCTCAAAAGCAATTACAGCACAGACAACGATATATTCTCTGATTCTGTTCGCCTTAATGCAGGTGCCCCCTCCTTGCCTTTATGATTTCACTCCTCAGCTTAGCTGGCAATGAGTTTGTGCTTATTTTCACGAAAACGCTCTGTGCAAAATACAACGATACAGTAGCTTCATTAAAATAAGCCAACAGTTTGAGCATTAATGCAAAATAAAAAGAAGATTCACAGTAATAAATCACAAAAAAGACAACGTTGGGTTTGGCTTGCATAGCAAAGCAAAAGAAGGACAATAAAAAATATATTTACAAATTATGCAAGTCCTTTTTCAACAAGTCATTTTCGTTTTGTGTTTTTCTTCACGTCTCCACTGTGTGAACCACTGTACACCATGTGACAGAAAACAGAAGCGGACATATAACATATTGTTTACTCTTTTCAGAGAAGGGGATGAAAATAACACTGTGAGGGAGGTGTCTGTCTGTACATGACATTTACAGCTCAGCTTTTCATTTCGCACGCTTTCGCCTCTTCCTCCTGTCTCAGTCCTTTCCATCTTCCAAACATCCTTCGTGCAAAGAGAAAATCTGTGAGCGCTTTCATAGCAAAGGTGTCCAGGGAGAGACCGCCACTGCAGTGACTGAAGTTTCATGTAGACTCTGGAAAAGAAGGCAAGAAGGAAGAATAAAAACACGATTAGATACTCAGTAAAAACAAGAAATGTCTCTTTTCTTCAAACGTTAGAATTGTCTTATTAAAAGACCATTCCACATATACACAATGTTATTTCTCTTTTAAAATATCTGATACAATTAAAATACTGAACGTTCCATCACTCACAATATATATATATTTATTTATTTATTTATTTTTCTCCATGCACACCATAAACCCAAAAAACTTCTTTTTGGGTTAAAATATGCAAGGAAAAAAACTTTTTGGAAACAGTATTCTTTTACAGGATGAATGACTTTCTCCTAGCGGTGTAATGGACTCAACACACGGGAGGCGACAAACGACCGCGATCAGTGAAATTTGTCGCCGTCGCTTTTATTACCTGACACACGGGAGGCGATCCGCGGTAGCGGCCAGCGGCAAAGCCGTCTACACGTTCTGTTCCATGGCGAAATCGAAACTTCCGTTGTTTTGCCTGGCTGTGTCAGGTTGGAGGGAATTAAGGTTATTTAAGTGGTTCAGAGTTAATAAAGTGGTAGATATGATGTTTCACAAGGTGCTGCTAGAGTTATGTGAAATCTTACTTCTGATTTTACTATATAAAACATAATAATTATCAACTTCTCCTCCATGTTTGCTCGGAGATGTACGGAGCATCCTGTCCGCTCATTGGTCAGTGAATGAAACCTTCGTTGATTGGTCCTCGTCCGAGTGACAGCGATGAAAAGTTGAAAATGTTTCAACTTTCTGGGATTGCGTCACTGGGTCGCCTGTGCACGACACGTGCACGAGTGCAAAATTACACACATGCACGTTTTTCACGTTTCGCTTGGTAGGAGGGAGACCCGCGATTATCGCTTTGTCGCACATGTCTCATTGAAAATGAATGGAGGAGAGGCGATGTCGCCTCCCATGTGTCGAGCCCATAATAATGGAAACCATACCATCTCTCAGCAGCTCCTGGCCTTCCTTATTGGCCTTTGTGAATAAGTTATTTTAGCTTAGAAAAAGTTAAGGTCAAATTTGGACCTCACCCATCAAACCTCACTCTCCCGTTTAAGTCACCACTAAATCATCAATAACCATCCATCCATCTTTTTCCACTTATCTGGAGTTGGGTCACAGGGGCAGTTGCCTGAACAGGGAGGCCCAGACTTCCCTCTCCCCGGCCACTTGGGCCAGCTCCTCTGGGGGAATCCTAAGGCATTCCCTGGGCAGATGAGAGACAAGTCCCTCCATTCTGTCCTGGGTCTTCTTTTGGGTCTCCTCCCGGTTGGACGTGCACCTCATCAGGAAGGCGTCCAGGAGGCATAATAACCAGATGTGGAGGTGCAGCGGGTCTACTCCAAGCCCCTCACACATGTCTGAGGTTCTCACCCTATCTCTAAAGAAGAGCCCAGTCACTCTAGAAGGGCCACTTGTATCTGTGATTTCATTCTTTTTGTCACTACCCAAAGCTCATGACCATAAGTGAGGGTTGGAACGTAGATTGATGGGTAAATCAAGAGCTTTGTCTACTTGTTTTTGTATACAAAAAGCACCCCTCACCTCTCATCTGTCAATGCTCTGATGGAAAAGGTACAAAATTACTAAATGAATTACCGACTAAATGAAGACGTTATCATACTTGCGGCATGCATGGGTATGCATTAACCCAAAAGTAAATTCATGCAAACATTAGCAATTCTATGCTGTGAGAATATCAAGCTTTTCTATATTTTCTTGTCATAAAAAAATAAACAATAAAAAAAAAACTTTAAACATAATTTAGCTACAACTTCCTATGATGCACCTGCTGCTTTCCTGTGTTTTGTGCACATATTCATAGGTTTTCTTACTTACAGTACTCTCTGTTGTCTGTGCCATTAGTGGAAATATGGCCGTTGTGGGAGAGATCTGTGCCATGTCTCTTGTGGGAGCCCCTACTGAGGGTGGCCCTGCCCGATGATGCCGTGCCACTCCAGGAAGCCATATGTTGTCTCTCTAGTGTTGACACGGTTACCATGCACTCCTCTGAGGGGTTTGAGGCTGCAGCTGCCCATGAGCTGTTGACGTGCGAACCCATGCCATGGAGAGTCTTCGTGACTGGTGTCTGGGCTGTTGTGTGGATGAGAATTTGTAAAGAGATAGCACATCATACAACCAAGCTGGCCCTGCTAACCTGAATTTGCTTTTAAGGCTAAACAACATTTGATAAATGGTGTCTGATAGCATCCACTTACACTCTGTTTTGGTATCTCTTCGTCTGGGAAGAGTTCCAACCTTCTCTGTCTGAGAGCTGTGGCCAGTGAGAGGTGCCCTCTTGTGTCCAAGGCTGTGTGTACCACGTGGGCCTTGGTCTGCTGTACCAAAGCTGTCTGAGAGACCGGGGTGGAAGTCTTTGCCTTAAAAAAAAATTGTTATTAATGATCCCTTTGCTCATAAACAGCAAAGGCCAAAGTTAAAACTCCTTTAAAGTCACACTATGTAACATTTTCATATTTTAAATCATTTTCTTTGTGCTAATATGACCCTTTACAGGGTTAATGAGATGTCACTCAGCCCACCATCCCTTTCCGTGGCCACAATACTGCTCTTGCAACTTCACAGTGCCGGTCTGGTCACAGTTCGACATAATAAAAGTGGAGCTGACATGCCTGGCCCTGCAGTCTGCTTTCATGTCTCATGCTTCTTTTAGCTAATGAACACAGCTGATTTGTTTAGGGTTAGGGTTAGTGATGAATCACTCCTGTAGACACTAATGAAGGCTGAGGAGACATTTCAGCAATTAGATCAAGGTGTTAAAAAAATGAACGCACAGTGAGGACATGAGTTTCCGTTTTGCTTTCACTAGCGTAACACTAGGGGGTGCTAACAGCAAGTAAAAACTGCCTAGTGTCCCTTTAAAATGAAAGGTTAACCAAAGTCCTTCACCTTTTTTTATTTTTAGCCAAAATCTACACCAAAACAATCTAAGAAACAAGTTGTGCCAGTTATGAAATGATTCAATGCTAAGAATATAAAAATACAATAATGTATTTTATATATATATATATATATATATATATATTATAAAGACCTTTTCACATGGGAGTTTGCCCAACCAATCCACGTGTGTTTTGTGGATTTGGAGAAGGCTTATGACCGTGCCCCGAGGGGCACCCTGTGGGGGACGCTCCAGGAGTATGGGGTGGGTGGCTTTCTGTTAAGGGCCATTCAGTCCCTTTACCAGAGGAGCGTGAATTTGGTCCGCATAGCCGGTAGTAAGTCGGACCTGTTCCCGGTGAAGGTTGGACTCCGCCAGGGCTGCCCTTTGTCACCAGTTCTGTTCATTACCTTTATGGACAGAATTTCTAGGTGCAGCCGTGGTGTGGAATGTGTCGAGTTTGGTGGCAGGAGAATCTCATCTCTGCTTTTTGCAGATGATGTGGTCCTTCTAGCTTCATCCAGCTCTGACCTTCAGCTTTTGCTGGGTAGGTTCGCGGCCAAGTGTGAAGTGGCTGGGATGAGGATCAGCACCTCCAAATCTGAGACTATGATTCTCGACCGGAAAAGGGTGGCTTGCCAACTCCTGGTCGGGAGAGAGGTCCTACCTCAAGTGGTGGAGTTTAAGTATCTTGGGGTCTTGTTCACGAGTGAGGGTAGGAGGGATCGGGAGATCGACAGGCAGATTGGTTCAGCATCTGCAGTGATGCGGACGCTGAGCCGATCTGTCGTGATGAAGAGGGAGTTGAGCCAGAAAGCCAGGCTCTCGATTTACCGGCGATCTACGTCCCAATCCTCACCTATGGTCATGAGCTTTGGGTAATGACCGAAAGAACAAGATTGCGGATACAAGCAGCTGAAATGAGTTTCCTCCGTAGGGTGGCCGGGCTCAGCCTTAGAGATAGGGTGAGGAGCTCGGGAGGGACTCGGAGTAGCACCGCTGCTCCTCCGGATCGAAAGGAGTCAGTTGAGGTGGTTTGGGCATCTGGTCAGGCTGCCTCCTGGATGCCTCCCTGGGGAGGTGTTTCGGTCATGTCCTGCTGGCAGGAGGTCCCCGGGTCGACCAAGGACCCGTTGGAGAGGTCACATCTCCAATCTGGTCCGGGAACGCCTTGGAGTCCTGCCGGAGGAGCTGGTGGAGGTGGCCGGGGAGAGGACGGTCTGGAGCTCCCTAGTTGGGATGCTGCCCCAGCGACCCGGACCCGGATAAGCAGAGGAAGACGACGATGACGACGACAACCTTTTCACACATTTAATCCCTCAGGATTAAACTCCATCACACGGCACTGCATAAAGAGTTTTACTGGTTACTTTGATTAAAAAAATTAAAATAAATCTTTTGCCGTTGCAGAAGTGTACAAGTGTGATATGAAATCCTGTTTTTAAAAACTTGCCTGATGAATGGATGAGATTATAATAATATTTCTGCACCATGCCACCCCTAAGGACTGAAAACGTTTTTTCAGTTTGCCTCAACATACTTCTGTTTTCACTTCCAGCAGTGTGACAGTTAAATATGTACTAATATCATGTTTGCATTGCTAATGCTTGTAAATATTTATAGGTTTGCTATGCCGTGGCTTATTAAATGTACTAACAACCACATATTCTCAATGCACCTGTCAAGTGTAACTTATCAAACACTGGGGTTTAAAAATGGTACAGTGTGGTCCCGGTGGGAGAAGCCTTCCCGTTCCTTAGCTCTTTAGAACAGCTTTCAGACAGAAATCTATTTATAAATGTGTCAAATCTTAAAATATAATGATATGGCTTGTGTCAAAGAGTGAATGCATCTAAATTTAATTAGATGGCCAAAAATTATTTTGGAAAGGAACACTTTGTGTCTAAAGCAGGAAAGTTCAAATAAGTATATCGGAATGTTCATGAATTTATAAAAACACCATCAAGTATGGTTTCAGAGGAAACGCTACTTGTCTCTTCTGCCTAGGAGTTTCCTTGTGTGTGTGTGTGTGTTTGTGTTTGTGTGTGTGTGTGCTTGTCTGTGTATACGCATATGTTTTAATATGCATTTTATAGGTCTAAGTGGACAAAATTTAACTTTAACCACTGTGTAGACATTTTCACATTGTGGGAACATTTTGTGTGTGTGTGTGTGTGTGTGTGTGTGTGTGTGTGTGTGTGTGTGTGTGTGTGTGTGTGTGTTAATTGGATGAACTAATCAACTTTTGAAGTGAGCCCTATTCAAGATAGCTGCAACAGCTAGTCAACATTAGCAAACACAACCCTGTCTACAGCTTAGTTATTTTACATACAGTGAGCTAAAAGTAGATATGATAACAGCAAAGAGTCATTCCCAACAAATACTCCATGAATTACATTATTTAGTATGGTCCTTGTTTCACAGTTTACCATAGGATCCTACCTGTCATCAAATCCCATGGATTTTAATGAAAATCCCCCGCGACCCGGACAGGCGGAAGAAGACGAGACGAAAGAATTTCAGGTTAGTTTTCACTGTATATTCAATGAAAGTACTTCAACTATGAATTAAACCCAATTCAAGATGGCCACCACAACTAACTGATAATTGCAATTAAAGAAATGGTAAAAACTGTCAATTTTCAAATATACTAAGCTAACATTTGGTGACTTAGTTGAAAAGCATCCCCAACACCTATCTGTGAATGGTTCTTGTTTAAAAAAAATGCCGTTAACTGTTGGAGTCAACTTAGATTGTTGGTAAAAAAAAAATTATAAAATGCTGGAAGTATTTTAAAGAGACTCACATAAAGTTCCCACTCTATGAGCATCCATATCTAACTTTTGGAGTAAATCTAATTTAAGAAGGTACCCCCAACTAATTGTCCATCATCAGTTTTGGATGTTGAGCTAACATTTGGTGTCACTGGAGCTGAGAGTTGTTGCCAACACATCGGACAAGATCTTTGCTTGAACTGTACCTGTAAACTGTTGGTGTCAACTCTGTCTGTTAGAACAAAATCATGAACCATCAGATGGATTTGAACCCTTACTAACTATGTTTACATGGGCATAAATAATCAGAATGAACGCCTTATCGGATCAAAAATTCTTCAAGTAAACATGTCAGTTGGAATGTTCTGATCCAATGCAGCTCTATCGGAATTAAATTTCCTTCCAATTGAGAGAAGCGGTTTTGTCTGATCAACATTCCGATTTACATCCATGTACACAACCAATCGGATTGTTGGGGTAAAATAATGCCCACTGCGCATGTGTACAACTTTCCCGTGACATCTTTCCGTCTGTGAAGACGCTCAAGACAAGTCAAAAACATGGCGGGAGGGAAACAGAAGTGGTCTGTTTACTGGAAACACTATGGAAGTGCAATATTATGCCTTGCGTCCTAAGAAAAACTGTATTTTTTTTTTTGACCTTTTACTTTTCTGTTTCTGGTGCTGTGAAGCTTAGAGGATTTTTACAGCTAGTTTTTCTCTTTTTCACATTTTGAGCATTTGTTCTGATGTGTAACCATGGCAACAAGCTGGTTTACAATTGGGAGCAGCTGATTGACATGGGAAAGGCTGAAATAATACCCCAACTGAAGCCAGAAATCCCAAATGAGCTAAAACACAAGAAGCATGGATGCAAAGCGGGAGCAAAACGGAGACAGAGAAAGAGAAAATTCTAACCATCTCTTCCATCGATCATAGTGGGCAATGTGAGATCATTGGCCAACAAGATGGATGAACTCCAAGCCCTTTCAAGGACTCACCCAGCGTATCAGCAGTGCAGTGTTATGTGTTTCACTGAGACGTGGCTGCAGGACCATATCCCGATTCCAACGTCTCTCTGTCAGGATTCCTGACTGTACAAGCTGACAGAGATCTGAAGAAGAGCGGGAAAAGAGAAGGAAGTGGAGTGGCAGTGCTTGTCAACAAAAGATGGTGCCATCCATGTCATGTTTCAGTGAAATGTCATCTCTGCTGCCCAGATGTTGAACTCTTGGCAGTAAGTTGTCCTCCATATTATTTGCCAAGAGAGTTCACCAGTATTGTCTTGGCAACAGTTTATATTTCACCTTCAGCCATTGCTGAAAATGCATGTGATGTCATCAGTTCCATTGTCACTAAGCTACAAACCCAGCACCCCAATGCATGTGTGGCTATATCCGGTGATTTTAATCATGCCTGGTTCTCTGCTACACTTCCAACATTTCAACAGTTTGTCAGCTGCTCCACCAGAGAAAACAAGACATTGGATTTGTGTTATGCAAATGTTAAGAATGTATACATGTCCAAAACAAGACCACCTCTGGGACAATCAGATCACAATCTTGTTTTTCTCTGCTCAGAATACAAACCACTTGTTCAGAGGCAACCTGTGACAAGAAGAACTGTGAGAAAATGGTCACAGGACACTGAAGAAGCCCTGCAGGGTTGTTTTGAGACCACCAATTGGATGACTCTCTGCCAAGGATATGAAGAGGACATCAATGCCATGAATGGATGTGTCACTGACTATATAAACTTCTGTGTGGACAACATCATACCCACCAGAACAGTGAGATGCTTCGCTAATAACAAACCCTGGATCACAAGTGAACTGAAGAATCTGCTAAATGAGAAGAAAAGTGCCTTCAATGAGGGAGACAGGGAATTATTGAGGAGTATACAGAAGCAACTGAAGATCAAGACCAGAGACAGCAAGTAGGCATATAAGAAGAAGCTGGAGAACAAACTACAGAGGAACAATATCAGAGGTGTCTGGTCAGGGATGAAGAAGAGCACATGTTTCAAGCAGAGGAAGGATTGTACAGATGGCAGCCTGGACACAGCCATTGAACTGAACAAGTTCTTCAATAGGTTCAGTTCAGGAACAAACCCAGGATCCTCCTCGCATGTCCCCAGCCAATCAGACATCCCATCCTCCTCTGATCCAACATTTTCCTGTCACATGCCAGCTCTGTTGTCCTCTAACGCAGTCATGGACTCTTCTGGTTCTATAAATATGTCTTCAACCAAGTCAGGAGATGCTGCTGCCCCATTTACCTCCCCCTCCCACCTATTTGTCTCTAGAAGTCAGGTGAAGAGGCAGCTGGAGAGACTGAACAGGAACAAGGCTGCAGGCCCAGATGGTGTGTGCCCCAGAGTACTGAAGGCCTGTGCAGACCAGCTCTGTGGGATTCTGCAGCACCTCTTCAACCTCAGCCTGGCCAAGAGAAGGTTTCAGTCCTGTGGAAGACATCCTGCCTTATTCCAGTTCCAAAGAAAACTCGCCCATCAGTCAATGACGACTACAGAATGGTTGCCCTGACATCCCACATCATGAAGGTCCTGGAGAGACTCCTGCTGGTCCACCTGAATAAGCACACTAGAACATACCAGGACCCGCTGCAGTTTGCTTATCAACATGGAGTTGGAGTTGAAGTTGCCATCATCCAGCTGCTTCAACCCACCCACTGTCATCTGGACAAAGCAGGCAGCATCGTGAGGGTCATGTTCTTTGATTTATCCAGTGCATTTAACACAATTCAGCCTGATGTACTTTGCAAGAAACTCCAGAAGACACAGGTGGGTGACTCAACGATCGCCTGGATTAAATACTACCTGACAAACAGACCACAGTTTGTGAGGCTGAAGAACTGCACATCAAACCAGGCGATCAGTAATATTGGAGCACCACGGGGACTGTACTCTCACCATTTCTTTTCACCCTGTGCACTTCAGACTTCCAGTACAAATCAGAGACCTGTCATCTACAGAAATACTCAGATGACTCTGCAGTTGTTGGGTGTATCAGAGATGGACAGGAAGCTGAGTACGGAGAGCTGGTGGAGCGCTTTGTGGCATGGTGTGGGAACAATCATCTGACCTTGAATGTGAACAAAACAAATGAGATGATTTTAGACTTCAGAAGAAATAGGGTGGAGTCAAACACTGTTCGCGTCATGGGAGAAGAAGTGGGGGTGGTTGAGGAAAACAAATACCTTGGCGTTCACCTGGACAACAGACTGGACTGGAGAAAGAACAGTGAAGCCGTTTACAAGAAGGCACACAGCAGACTGCACTTGAGGACGCTTAGGTCCTTCATTGTCTGTAGCAAGATGCTGCAGATTTTATACAAGTCTGTTGTTGAGAGTGTAATCTCTTCAGCTATCGTCTGTTGGGGTAGTAGCTTCAGAAGCAGGGACCTGAAAGGCTCAACAGCCTAATTAAAAAGGCTGGTTCTGTTCTGGGGACGACTGTGGAACCACTGGAGGAGATAAGGCAAAGGAGGATTCTCCAGAGAATCAAGAAAATTATGGACAACCCTGAGCATTCTCTTCACAAGGCTGTCCGACAACAGAAGAGTGTCTTCAGTCAGAGGCTTCTTCAGTTTCGCTGCAACACTGACCACTACTGGAGATCCTTCCTGCCAACAGCCATTGATATATACAGTAACTCTTTGACGACTTGATTGTTATTATTATTATTCTGAGCTACTACAGCAATCAATTTCGCTCTGGGATTAATAAAGAATTTTTGAACTGAATTGAATTGAATTCTAGTAGGTGATCACAACTGATTGACTAACCCCTTCCCTCCACCGGAAGTGAAAGTGCAGCAAAACAGCCACTAAATATACTACACTTCAATTAGCCGCTGTTGCAGTGGACGCATCCCAGAAGCAAAAGGACACTATAATTATGTTTCTAGTTTATTTTTATGTGTAAAACACATCAAATTTCGCAGGTTAGATAGGGGCACATAAGAAGTCAAACAAGAAAGCCATGTAAGACATCTTTCAAAATAAAAGTCACTTGCAGTCATTTCCTCTTTAAACCCTCATAGCCAAGGTAAACAAAACATAAAATAAGTCACACATTTTGTTAGAATATGCGGCCATCTTTCTTCTTGCTTGTAACTTCCGAAATCAAACAATGTCGCAATTCCTCTTTGATTTTGTGACTTTGCGCGATCTGCGGTGTGGAACGCTCTCTCAACCGTTTCACCCATTTCTGAATCTCGCTCAGTTAAAATGGAGCTTTTGAGTAAAATGCAGCTACGACTGGCTGCTTTCACATTCAGTGGAAAACCGGGGATACTTGAATATACAAACATGGCTATTAAGTGATTAACTTATTTTCACATTTTGACCCAAATAGCAACGATGCAAACTTTATACTTTAACTTTATTCTTTCAATCATTCAGTCAGTCATTATTTGAATTAACCAGAAAACACACCTGAGTTGTCAAGGCTGTCCACACTGTGACTAGGAGTGTATTCAAAGCCACACAAGTTCTTTGACACCACAGCATATCTTCCATCTTCCTCATCGTCCTCATCCTCCTCTTCTTCAGAAAGGAGACTGGCTCCCAAATCAGAGCCCAACGTACTAGACATAAAGTCCATCGGCGTGCTGGACACATTTGGACTGCTCTTCATGTGCCTAATTAAATGTGGGTAAACAGTATGTATTAATGAACAAAGTAACATTTTTAACCATCCATAAAAGTCAAATAATGAGCAGGAAAAAATTACCTACAAAAATAAACATTAGAATGCGGAATCAGTGGATATTCACAAGCTCAAAGATGCAATGTGCGAAGCGAGTGAATGCCTGCAGTGATTTTCGCTGATTGCTTTCTCGGTGCTGGTGTATGTTGTGCTAACACAATGGAGTTGTAATTGGACTGGATAAAGGATATCTGGATGGGCAGGGGCTGTCAGCAACATGCCTGTTATCTCCCGCACAGCTGTCCTCGACGATGGCTGGCATCCCACCATAGAGAAGATGCATGCATAATTACCAACTCTATTTACTGTTGTCAGAACAGCGTGTAAGACTAAACCCAGTCATTACCCTCCGACTTGTGTCGGCACTGGACTTATCAAGTTCTCCAGTGCCCCATCGGAGGTGCAATCAATGGAGAGATGGTTTTATCGCTTGTGGAATGTATGGACTGCAGGTTTGGTCTGCCACAGCTAAATACCAGCATTGATATTCAAAACCCAAAATATCAGAGGAATAAAATGAATAAAATTACTGGTATCTATGCAACTGTGCAGAGCAAACACATTTTAAGGAAATTGCAGTGCCTCCTAAGAGTTTAAAGATGTTTTTAATAACCAGAAGAAGATACAGAAGATGCACTTAAAATAGAGCAAAATGGAGCTATTAAAGATCCTCACCACGCCTGCTTGGCCACTTCATATTGGTAAGCTCTGGTGAGTTCGTCTAAGTGGGCCTGCAAAATGGATTGCATTTCTTCATGGTGGGCAGAGCTGAGGGAGGAGGATGCAGGCTGGTTGAAGGGAGCAGCTGCTGGTGAGGAGGATCTTCCTCTCAGGGGTGGAGTGGGACCTCTCTCCTCTTCTACCTCACTGTCCAAGTTCTGGTGGCAGTAGGTCTGGACGGACATGGACGGGGCCCAACTGTTTCCACGTGCAGGTAGAAAAAGGACATTTTTAAAACTTGAAGAAAAGGCACATCATAACACAAGTGAGGATATTCTAGAAGCTAGTAATACTTTGGTTTTGTGAGTGTTTGTGCTTCCGAGAACAAAGATTGATGGAACTTGAGTGTATCGTACCTTCCTTTATGGTTTTCCTGAGGATAACAGTCAAGGTCAACCTCAGTTCCAGGGAGAGGGTTCATGGGTGGTGGAGGCAGGGGCACGTTGGCCCAACAAGTCCCATTTGATTTAGAGCTCTTTGTTCCACCCTTGATCTTTTTTTTCTTAGCAACTTTTGCTCCTAAGGGTGGATACAGACAAATATTTATAGTACAGTTACCAACACAGTTGTACACCATAAAAAATCACTCACAGCTCGCTTTGAAAGCTATCCATTCACTATTTGATGCTACCTTTAATTTTCAACCAAGTCTACCAAACAAAGTTCATCACTTCCTTGATTTTGTGTGCCAACAGCATACCACAACATTTTCTAAATGTTGACATTTCTTAAAGAAGCATTAAAACCTCAGGCAAAGCATTTTAAGATGCCTCTGTACAGCCTCCTTCTCTTATCTTCTGGTAAGCCTGACATTTAGCTGAGCACGCAGCTTATTGTGCGTGACTACAGAAGTGCAGGCCGATCTGCCTCCTAGACTTTGCAAAATGTATATGTGCTACATAAAAAAACTCAAAACACTGAGGGATTTTCTGCCATTAATAATCAAATTAAGCCAAAGGAATGTGTCACAATTGCATGACATTTCTGGGCTAGATAAGCTCTCAGGGTAGAACTGTGAAGATAAAAGAGTAATTAAGAACATTGTCCTAAGGGTCCATGCTGGTGAATATGTAAATAAACTCCTTTCTTTTTCATTTTCCACAAGTTTAGCTTTAGGTTGTTTCACTAAGTGGGAAAAAAGTGGTTCAAAAACAAACTGTAAGGTACTTTAAAGATGCAGAATTGACCGTGCAAACAGAAACATACCACCACCAGGACGTCTATCTGTTAGGGAGTAGCCCATGTTTGCCATTTCCTGTTGGGCCTGTAGTGAAGCCTTCCAACGAGGGTCTGGTCTGTCCACAGCCAGCTCGTGGAAGCTGTTGGACTGGAGGATCTGAGTTGTTGCGTAGGGGGTGGGCTGACCCCGAGCTGGGCTACTGTAGCCTCCTTTCCCCATGAAGTCAATACTGCTGTAGATGGCCCCATCAGACAGCATGGTGCCCGTTTTCTCCACCGCTGCAGACGGCAAAACATCTGAGACAAAAGTAGGTTGGAGAAAAAAAGTGAGTAAAGGCATCATGGGGAGATAAGTTGAGGTGAAGTTAACGATCTTTAAGGTCATTAACATTCCCCGCTGCTCTGGCACTCTACATTAGTTAACTACGGGTCCAAAATGAAGTTGATATAAACGAAAGTGATTATCAACAACTGTAATTAGCATGCAGCACTCTGTGGGAGCCTGGTGGAGTGTTCAAGAGAGGGGATATTCACAGCACTAACCTTCGGCTCTACTGTCTGTCACATTAAAAGCCTGCAGCTTATCCTCAAACATAACATTAAAGACAAACTAAGCTCATAAGTGTGGACTGTTACTCTCATACAACCTTGTAAAATGCACAATGGCGGCAAAATATGGAGACAAATAAATTGAAATAGCACAAATTTAAGCTAAATATCAAGCTTGTCCAATGCAATTAGTCCAATATAACCGTCAGGAGGCTGTTTTTAATTTGGGTGCTTGTGCTTCTGTGATGTGTGCTGTCACCATGTTCCCCAAGGGGTGAATGTCAAAACCGTCCAGCAAGGCACTGCTAAACCCGTGTTTCTGTTTACCCCTTTCTGGTGGTGTTTCATACCTCCTCGGCCAAAGCTGTTGTCGTCATTTGGACTCCCCAAGCCTCCATTAGCTGGGAGGCTCGTGGAAGGCCAGGAATCAGCCAACCAGGGTAGGCCCGGATCACCCGCCTTCAACAGTCCTGGACGGCTGGGGAGGGTGAGAGGGCGGGAGACGGGGAAGAAGTGACATTGTTAAATACTCAGCCTCCCCCCGTAACGATACTGCTCATTTTCTTCCTGCTGCATCAACAACAAATTGATGCGAAATCTCATTCAGCATATTCTCGCCTGTGGAGCAGCCCGGCACACGGGCAACAATAAACAACGGAGAGACATAAAATGGCAAGTCTATAAATCAGAGCCCCACCTCCACCACCACCATCCTTCTCCCCTCCTCCTCCTCCAAACCTACCACCCCACCCCAAGAAACAAGGGTGGTCTAAACACACACTAAATCCACTTTAGAGCCTTAGCACAACAGAAATTTACATTTTAAATTGAGAATCATGGTCAGCCTGTAGCAGATCAACTACACTGGAGTGCTGTCACCATGGCAACAGAGCCAGCAAAAGCCCATTAGGCGGTTTAGAAAAGCTAGCATGTCATTTTTTCCTCTCTCTCTCTCTTTGTGAATTACATGAACAGTCATGAATGCATGCTTTGACTTAAAGTTAGGGAAGTTGTGGGCAGCAATTCAGCGAGAGGAGGATGACAATTATCAGCCTTTTGAGATTGTCTGCTGTAAAAACGGTGGGGCCTTTTACTGCGTACACGTCCAGTAAAAAAGCTCTGTTCACATGTTTAATGCACAGCTGTCGTGAGAATTTCATTAGCTAAAAGCCAACGATAAAGCAATGGTTACAGGGTGTTCAAATGACTATTATCTTTATATTACTTTTGTTTTGAGCAATGCCGTTAGGCGCAGATGGAAACAGCATCAGCAGATGTTTCACCAACACTGATGGAACGTGGAGAAATGGTTGTGCTAAAGGTTTTACTTATTGGAATTCTTTGTGTGATACAATTAAAAGAAAACACAGAGAAAATGCTTTTAGTGAATACAAAGGAGGGTTTCATTTAGGGCGTTTTTAGAAGGAAAAACATTCCCACGGGAGAAGAGTGGAGTGTGAAGGTCCGACCCAAGGCTGTTCGCTCTCGGTGCTCAGAGCTTCTTTACACCGGCACATTCATCACCTCTCCTCTTCTCCTGCAACCTCTCACTCTGCCAGCAACCTCTGACGAACTGAGAGGGCGAGCCCGTGAATAAAACAGCTGCCCACCTGGATTAATTGCTAGCACTCACTTCAAAGGAGTGATTAATGGTTTCATCAAATGAACACCGTTGCAAAATCATACACTGATACGGTGTGAATAAGCAGGGAAAAACGGATATGCAAATTCCATTCACCGTGAGAGAACTCTTCATTTAGGGGTTTGACAATGGGGCTGGTGCCAAAGTGAGGCTGAAATGTTAGCGGGAACGCTTTGGCTGCAAGGCCTCTTGTTTTTTTGTTTTTTAAGTTAAATTCTCACCTTCCGTTTCGGATCAGGCCTCTGTCCCTTTGGAATGTGACTATAAGAGAAAAAGAGGAGTGAGAAATAATTCATCTACAGTCTGATAATGATCATTAATTGGTATGAAATGCCATTAAGTTAGATTATGGAAACATACCTGCTCGAGTGAAGGTGAATGACTGAACTGTGTTTGAAAAAAAACAACAAAAGAAAGCAATGATATTAAGTCATGAATCAGATGTTTGCATTTAAAACAGAAGTTGTGCTCTAGTGCTTTTTCCATTAGGTGTTCATTTTCCTTGGGACGTTTGTCTGATCTGTTGATAATAAGTGTAACTACACTCAGAGTTACATGAAGGAAGGTGAAGCTGAACAACAAGAGCAGCCCCTAGAGGTTGGCTGCAGTAGACATTTAACCCTTTTACTTCCTCACTAAGAAAAAAAAACTATGAAAAAAAAATCCCCTTTTGCATTTTTTGATTTGGGGTAATAAGGGCTTAAGTATAGTGTAAATGAATAATAGGAATACAAGTATTTTAATAATAATAAGGTAATTATAGCCGGTGTAATAAATCTATACCTTTTCTTCAAACATCTCCCACATTCTTTTGAAAATTTTGGTTTAATGTTTTTTTTTTCTTGTTAAGTTCATTTAATGCTTCAATGAGATGTAGAGACTAGGGATATGCTCCACGATACCTGGGCTGTTGTGGGGCAGCCCCTTCCTCATCACATACACATTAAAATTAACAACATTAAAATGAAAAAACAAAAACAACACTCTTGGTGACAAATCTATGCACAGACACCCACAAACACAAAGTGATTTACACAAATACAGCTTAGACCAGCACACATAGGTAACCATACAAACACACACACACACACACACACACACACACACACACACACACACACACACACACACACACACACACACACACACACACACACACACACACACACACACACACATGAACATATTCTATAAGATATAGGCACTCGAACGCATGCATGCACACACATACACAAAAGTACATATTACTACAAATATATATAAAAACATTTAACAGTTTCTATTTATTCTTGTAGATTATTTTTATGATGACCCCTCTGTTTTGTCCTGCCTGTGTATTTGTTGTCTGTTGTCTATTTGCTGTTTACTGTTGTCCCTCCTATCTCCCCTCTCTTTCCCTGTTTGTGTTGTACTTCTCTTTTCCCCTTGCCTGTCCACTCCGGTACATAAGCGGTCTAACATGCCAGAAACATAATAAAGACTATGGCGCAACAAGAGGAATATCCCGCATCCCTTTTGCTGTAGAATAAACTGCTCTAGTACATTATGGCACCCAGATCAACCATTCTGTCTGCTTCTACTTCCAGGTCAGGACAGATCAAAAAAATAAATACAATGCTCCACCAATTGGTTGACCAGGCAGTTCCAACCCCCTACATGTTCATCTACCAGCCCTCACTGACTGACGCCATGTACACACATATCCGAGGATTGCTGTGAAACTGAATCCCCCCCCCCCCCCCCCCCCCCCGGACCACACAGCCTTGGTTTCAGTAAAAAAAAAATCATAAATCCAGTGCTTGTGAAGCATGCTTATAGGTATCCCAAGCCTGTAGGTGGCAGTATATCCACCAAATTATTGCCGTCTTAGCCAGAAAACATTCCTTGGACGTGGAATAACTAGGTGGTGTATTAGTAATTGAGCTCGTAAAAACATACAAGCGAGTGTAAACACAGGTCAACATATTTGTGTTCTGGGCAGTGATGTTATAAAACCAAAAACCCTGGTTGTTTACGTCCTTATTTATTTATATTTAACCCTAACCCAAGCAAATGCTGACAATTCAAAAGAGGCAAATCCACACCTGGTAATAGTTTATTAAAGAATCGCTTTTGGTGCCGCATATCTTAACTTTGTCTTAACTTTTATACGTTCGATTTGTGGGATACCCAACTACATGTGTACAGAAACTTACATCAAATATTTCTGAATGGTAAAGTCCAAAGGAAGTTTTATTAGTTCCTCCAAAATTCTTAACGCTTCTATTCACAAGCAAAATCAAGCTTAGAATAAGACTTAGAAATAGAATATTATATTTGATGAACTCAATGTTTCAAAGTAATGTTAAAGTATAAAACAAGTTGAAATGAAGGAATCCAACATATGTTCTGGATGTTCCCTTGTTTTTAAAAAAGAGCTTATAAATCCCATTTAAAGAAGGAGGTTGAGCTCTCACTCTCATCAAATTACTAGGATGTCTGTTGCCGCCACAATAAATGCAAACAGCTACAGGGTTGACTCGCGGCATGCCGGTGAATATTCTATATCAAAACCTAGATGAAGCTCATGTTAATGGGCAAACATCACCAGCCATGGTCTGATAATGGAAGGCGATGTTAAATTACTTATCTCGTATGAATGTATTAGAGTGTTGAGGTGTGCTGCTGATGGAACTCAGCACAGCTGACGCACATCGCTGCACAGTGAATTAAAGTAAATAGAGCCTATTTCCATCTGTGCTGAATACATTTTACCTTTGTTCTGCATTTTAGGCACCATGAATGGAGTCACATATGTGACGACGACAGCTTTGGCTGGGGGTGCAAGAGATCTGCTGGTTTAGAACCATATGGATCTTTCTTCTAATCATTTTACCTGCATAATTGCTGAGTCCCTTCCTTTTTTTTCTCCTCCAGTAGAGCCAAGTACTAAAGCCCATGAGGACAATCCAACAGGCTCCTCCCAAACCAGCAATAAAAGCTGGCTGCTTCACCACATCTGAGATGCTGCTGTTTCCATCCGATCCTGTCATCACATCCTTCAGCTCTCCACCTGGAGGGACCACAGATATATCAAAAGTCAGATATATCAAAATGTATGTGAAAATGTACGTGAAAATACATATATAAATGAAAAGACTGGAATTCAGTTGTGCAAATAGAAAAACACAAGAGATTTGTCATCATAAACATGCATCTGATGAAACTATAAAAGTCTTGTAAAGAAATCTAGATTGATCTAGACAAGAATTCTAATTAGGAATATTTAAAATATTGTAGACTGCTTGGTTGCACAGATGCCTTGCAGCAAGACGGTTGCAGGTTTGAATCACGGCTGCACCCTTTGTGCTGCGCTTCCATAAACTCCCCATGCATATGTTAGTTTTCTCCAGGGACTCCCTTTTCCTCCCACAGACCAATAGCATGCATGCTTGGTTGACTGGAGACTCCAAATTATCTCTTGGTGTGTGTGAGTGTGTGGCTGGGTGTGTGTCCCTGTGATGGACAGACAACCTGTCCTCCGCCTCTTGCCTAGTGACAGCTAAAGTTAGGTACCAGCTCCTTGTGACCCTACTAAAGGTCAAGTGGTACATCTAATGGATAAATGTACACTTTGGTAAAAGGGACATCTGAAAATATGAAAATGAGATTTAGGGACACATTTTCACCAAATTGAGCAGATTACATAGCTTAGAAATATAGACAAACCGCAGCACTAGCAAAAGATTTTGTCTTGCAGGTCGGTCTAGCCACACTCCATTGGAGCCTCAGCAGATCTTCCACTGGCCCAAAGAACTTACGGTCTGTCCAATCACAGCACTCTATATTTTTAGAGATGTTATGTCATGTACGAAAGCTAGCTGGGGGTAATTAGCTTGCATGCTCGAGTCAGCAAAAACACTCCGCAGGAAGATTCTACATTTTCTTTTATTAGTAGAAAAGTCACAGCAGCCTTTCTAAGACAGAGTCTCCTAGGAAGTAACCGTGTATTGTCATTTTACTCATGAAAATAAATAGAAATATATAGGTCTACGCCATGGCATCAGGAGTCAGTCAGCTAGCAGCAACAGCACAAGTGTATTCACTGGCCCCATCACAATACTCGCACTTGCACCCTTGTGCCCTTCAATTGCGCATTCCCAGCCAGGAGTGCGAGTGTGTAGGGTGCCCCGATTCTCAAGTGAGGATGTTGACCACGCCTACATTGCACCCTTAATCTGCACTTCACCCTAGTCCGCAGCAATGCGGGCCTCGGTTCAGGGTATTACCCACAAGTCATTGCTGCAGGAGAAAAGGCTCAAGTTCCTTTTCTGAAAATATGTATTTTCTAATGAAATTAGTTCATTTTAGGATGATTAGTTGATGCTCTAAAACTTTTAGACAAAGCAGCAATAAATATAAATTCATTTCAAGTAGCTGGCTGTTTGTTTAAAAGTTGTTAATAAAGGTTTTTGAAAAAAAGTATCACAGCAACCAGCATCCCGGCATGCATTGCGATCAATTCTACAATGTTCCCTGTCTCAATTCTGCAATTATTTGCACACTTGTGTACTACGCAATCAAAGCCTTACAGCACACTTTCTCCAAGTGCACTTTCCTGCAGTCCGCAGTGTGAGTAGAGACTGAGCGACTGTGCGTGTTAAATCATAAAAATGGAAAATCTGCCCTCTAGTGGTGATATCTAATATGAACCGAGCACTCCAGTGACTGTTACACTTGGGCGGGCTTAGCACCAGATTTGCCACAAAAAAAAATATATATATACAAAACTACAAGGATGGTGTCTGCACAGAGAACAGCACTGATTTAAAAATGGCTTTGGCATCAACTTTGGGCTATTTAGACCTGGCCTCTTCTTTGAGACATGAGCAGATAGGGGTACTTCTTCATTGGTGTACGGTGGACTACCCCATTGACTGACATCTGTAGCAATGAATATGTCACAGTGTTTCTCCCTCTGAATGGTCTTAGCACTGTCCAATAACAAGCAGAGATAGTTTGAAAGACAACCGTAGATCTTGCCCCACGACCGAGCTCTTTCTTTGGGCCGGGGCCAGAAAATATTTACGGTTCTGACAAGACTGAGATGTTCTGTGCTGGTGAACTTTTATGACTCACTGCCTGAGGAGAGACATTTCTGCTGCAGCCATGTTTTATTTCCCAGATTTGCTCCACAACTTTATAAAAGCTAAGGTGGTCTTTATACTTATGAAAAAAATCAAAACAACATGAATCTTAGGGTGGACGATAAAGCCTCATAATTCTATTATTATGTTACAATACAGCTATACCGTAGTCGCTCGCTATAACGTGGTTTACCCTTCGCGGCTTCACAGATTTTTTTCTTTGATAAATGAAAGGCGATGACGCAAATTGAAATTAACAAAAATCCTATCAGAAAATCAATCAGTTTAAACAAGCTAGCTTTAACCATATGTGGTAAATGGCCTTTATTTGTAAAGCACCTTCACAGGGTTCTACAACCCCCAAGGTGCTTCACAACACAATCAGTCATCCACCCATTCACTCACACATTCAGACACTGATGATGATGGGTTACAATGTAGCTACAGCTGCCTTGTGTCGCACTGACGGAAGTGAGGCTACCGAACACAGGCACCACCAGTCTCTCCGACCACCACTAGTAGGCAAGGCGGGTTAAGTGTCTTGTCCAAGGACACAACAACAACATTCTCTGGTGGGAGCCAGGATTGAACCTACAACCTTCTGATTACTGGACAACTCACTCTGCCTCTTCCTGAGCTACTGCTGCCCTGATAATGCCGGTAATAGTTGAACAATTTATGTCTAAAATGACAAAATGTCCGTGGGTAGCAGTAAAAGCCTTAAATGTGACCATCTGAAAAGTCTGCTTGGTGAGTACACATTCTGGGTCTCTCCTGGTTTTAAGTTGCAGTAGTAACAGCAAGCAGAGGCAGGAGAGGGGTGGATGCTGGACCTGGTCCGATTGCACAGAGTGGTGCATGTGGTTGTTTAATTATTTTTGTGGTGCTGCTGCGGCCGTAAGATAATCAGCGTTTGGTTTTCTAGCTGTGTTTTTGTGAGGACTAACATTCAGGCAGTTTTAAACCTGTGTGCAGTGCTGGACTGACCATAGGGCATAGCGGGCAACTGCCCGCTGGGCCGACCCTTTCATCTTTTATGGGCCGGTGTCTGTTTTTTTTTTTTTTTTTTTCTGGCCTCTAGTTGTTGCGGACAACTTGCCCGCGCCGCCCCACGCGACGCCTCGTAAAAGTTGGTGGATTGGCCAATTGGTAATAATACACTCTGGGCTGGACCAATAGCCAGAGGTCTGATGCACCCGCCAGTTGTTTGTGAATCTCAGTAAACAGACAGACGAGCTTAACAAAATGGAGAACAAAAAACGGAAAGGAGAAGCGGAGAAAATTCGACTAAAAAAGAAACTGGCCCTTCAGGCTGATGCTGGCACATGTGTTAAAATCTCACAGTTGTTTGGTAGTGAAGGTTCAAGTAAAATCAATTTAGGAAGTGATGGAGCCTCAGCCCAGCGACAGGTTGGAGAAGAAAAGAGGGAGGAGGAGGAGAAACCCGAGCCGGTGTTGTGCCATAAATTGACTCGCTGCCAAAAAATGATTAGCCACTGCGGGATCGCGCACGGTTAGGCAATTGCATTTCTAGACAAAATTCCCCAGGATTTCGCCCTAAAACTCAGCATATCTAGCAATATGGACATTCAGAAAGCAAAGATAACCTCTTCCGGGACTTAAACAGATGTTTATCGCGGATATTAGTGTGGCAGTGTTTGTGGCACCCTGCGCGGGAGCACGAGGACGTGCTTGTGGAAAGAGGGAGGAAGATGTGGCAGTGTGAGCATCCACAATGTCCCGATAGATTTTGCGCCCTGGCTGCTTGGCTAAGGAGATGTCCCTTTGGCTGACTGGTTAGAGCATGTGACTTTCACCCGGGAGTCTGGGGATCGAATCCCGCCTGGGCACTCCTTTCTGCACCTTGCCACATTAGTTTTTCCAGTTCGGAAGTTGTTTTAAGTGTTGCTATTTGTCTTAAACGTTCACAATGAGGATATATTAATCCTTTTTGCAATATTTGCGATTGAAAGATGGTTTGTGCCACAAACTTTGTGGTAAGAACTGGCTTTCTTTATGTTACAGCCTTGATACTAAAAAAATAAATAAACAATGTAAAATGGCACCCTGTATTGAATGTAAACGTTGTATAAATGGAAATAAACAATTCTCCAGCAATTTAATTTTTCCCCCTTCCTTTCTTTAGTCCACTTGACATGGAGCCACAGTTAACTAGTTTGGGGCACATTTTTACTTGAAAAAAAGTATTTAAAATGATCAAGCTTTGGCTTTACAATGACACTGTGTAGGTTGCTATTCATTACGTTGCTCTATTTAAAAGTAACAAGATAAAAGCACTTCAGCACATAAAATCAAGATTGTCACTTGCCAAATAGACTACACCCTCCCGTTTACCTATAAGAAATGCCTCAAAATATCTTTAAATTCTTTATTGATGATTTAATTGTAGACAACTAAAATGGCATTTTACTTGCCAAAAAGTGATTGAATCGGTAAGATTTTCATGGAGGCTAAAATTGACCAAATAAGGGTTTTATGTATTATCTGTTGACGTTACTGTACTCATACAGCCTACTGTGTCATCAAAAACACCCCAAAAATGGCAAAAAAAAAAAAAAAAAAAAAAAAAAGATAATTTCCCTTGCCAAAAATTGATTACAGTGTCCTGGTCACCTGTAAAGGGTTACATTTACCTAAATATTACTTTATTTATTATCTCTTGATGTTATTAGTGCCATCACAGGATGCCGGTGTCTTTCACATTCATAAACACCTCAAAAATGGCAACAAATGATCATTTCCCTTGCCAAAAATTGATTACAGTGTCCTGGTCACGTGTAAAGGGTTAAATTGACCTAAATATTACCTTATTTATTATCTCTTGATGTTATTAGTGCCATCACAGGATGCTGGGTGTCTTCCACATTCATAAACACAGAGTCCTGGTCACCCATAAAGGCTTAAATTGGCATAAATATTACTTCATGTATTATGATGCTGGGTGTGTTCCACAATCATATTCGAATAAACGTGAAAATATTCTGTCCGAATATCTGTTTCTTGTTATAAATATAACAGCTAGAAGGATTTACAGTTAAAATAGGAGAAACACGTGACTCCCCAGGAAGGGTCGTAACACCACTTGCCTCATGCACATAAGTGACCAAAACAAAGCAGCATGGAGACACTCCGTCTCCAACCACCTCTCAGGCAGCGGCCTGCACTCCCAAGTTCTACACGTCACCAGAACATAAACAACCGCAACACAATAAAAGCAGTGTTATACAAAATGGAAGGCCTGTAGTGTTTATTCTCTTACAGTAACAACTTATCAATTTTTTGGAGGAATTTATTTGAGAATTTTTTGGTTTTTATTAATTGTGCAATAGAAAAGTAATCGCTAGATTAATCATCTAAATAGTCATTAGAATAGTCGACTATTCGATAAAATAATCGTCAGAATAATCATTTTAAAAATAATCAGTTACCCCCAACCCTACTTTTTAGAATACCAGGATAGAAAGGATGGTGTAGGTTTACGTTTATTAGATTGATACATAAATACTACCAATAAGAAAGTGTACGTTGGTGTGTGTCAGAAACAGCATAAGGCTTAATGTCTTTTCCAAAAAAAACAGGTGATGGGCCGGTCTCCAGTCAAAATGCCCGGGCTGAATTTTTGTCCCAGTCCAGCCCTGCCTGTGTGTGTGTGTGTGTGTGTGTGTGTGTGTGTGTGTGTGTGTGTGTGTTTGTGTGTGTGTGTGTGTGTTCTGCATCATGATTAGAGCATTAAGAGTATTTAAAGAAGAGAGAAAAAAAGTGAAAATGTGAATGCCTTTCTGAGGAAAGTGTATGAAGTGTGAAGTGAATGGTTTTACAGCCTAAAACATCTATAATAAATGTAAAAAAGAAAGCTGGCTACTTTGCGGATTTCGCCTTTTGCTGGTTATTTTTACAATGTAACCCCTGCGATAAACGAGGGGCCAATGTAAAACCTCAAGACCACACAGTTCTGTTTTAGTGAAAACAATTACTATGCAGCTTTTATTTACCATGATCTATTGCTACAGGCCATGCATGGTCACTTAATGGATGTATTGTTGTTTTTTAATATTTTGTGGTGTCACTTCAATTATTTCCTAATATGACACATTTTTCTTTACATAATGTTATAATTTCTGAGTTTTCGTGGTCCATCTGATATGACACACAGCCCTAGCTCACAGCTCTTTAAACATCAAAACACACTGACAGCAGGAGAAGCCAACAAGAGAGAGAGAAAAAAACAGAAAGTGAAAATAAAAAATAAATAAACAGCATCAGTGCATCCAATATAGACTTAATCAATTCAGCAGTGCACTTATCAACTTGAGCTGCAAGACATGAGATTGACAGAGCAGCTCCGACAGAGTTTGATTTTCTGTTGCGGCTACTGTGCTGTGAAATTAGATTCACAGTCTCCAGCAGGAACGGCCCCACCCCCATGCCCCCTTTTATTCTCTGTCAACACCACCACCGCCCCCCATCATTAAGCTTCTGTCCGCAGGCCTCCTTTCCCCTTTTCTGTGTGTTAAGGGTGTTATTATATATCAGTCAAAAGTCACAGATGAAGAGCATCTGGGCCGGGCTGCCATATTGATTCTGGGCTTATATACAGAGAATCTTTTGGCTTTTTTATAAGATGCGATGGGTTGATAAGCTCCTACAAAAACATTGCCTTGTACGTTAGCACCAGCTGCCACATAGTGAAGGGGATTATTGATACGGCTAACAGTACTTGGCACAGTGTTGCCAGACACTACACTTAATGAATCACTATTGAGTTCTCGACAGCCGTCTGCGTTGTAAAGCGCAATCTTCTTTCTTCTGGTGCGATAAATTGCTAAATCATTTTTCCAGACCCCTGACTTGCTATAGAGACCTTGGTACCCCATTACAGGGTCATTCCATTTGACCCCTCTAAGGTTTGGAGTGCAGTAGGATTACCCAGGATGATGAGCTGGGGTTTACTCTTCACCCCCACGCCTACACTGGTGCTGGCAGCCACCTCCACGTGGTACTGCACTCCGGTCTGCAGACCCCGGACGACAACTGAACGGATGGTTGCGTCCACCGACTTGTTGACGTGAAAGCGGGTGTCGTTGGCCAAACACCAGATCTGACAAAGACAAACGCAGCAGAGACCATTCAGAGTGTTGTTTTATACATGAGTGAAATCTAGTCTGGAAGGGGAGGAGGCTGAGCCTACCTTGTACTCCTGGATGATGCCGTTCTGTTGGTCGGAGGGAGGGGGGTCCCACGACACGCTGATGGATGTGCTGTTTTGACTTCCCACTGTCAACACTGTCACTTGCTGCGGAGGTGCACTGGGCGCTAATGGGGAGGATAGAGAGGGCAAAGGAGATTTTAAACAGGGCATACACAGAAAAAAAGATTTAAATGACTTAGCATTTCATTAAAACAAACAAGGAAGGAGCATTTTCCCGTCTCTATAAAATGGGATTTGTCTCTTACACAACTTCATTTTGTATTCATACAACAGAGCCTTGAAACAAGGTATTATCAACACATTCTACCACCACAGACGGAATTTAAAGAACTTCATCTCACTGCAGAAAAGATTCCAATAACTTAATGGCATCTTGAGTTACACAGGCCAAGCATCTGAGATCCAAACTGTGCTTTTATATAAGCAAAAATCACAACCATTCCAAGCAGATCAGCAAGTTTAGATATGAGTGCAACTTCCTGTGCCAAAAGTAAAATTGAGATGGTTTGTTGCCACAAATATGAGGCCTTAGGGTGCCAAAATCAGACTCTTGTTAATAAGTTAGCTGGGTAACATTAAAGAGAATGCAGGCAGGAATGGATAAACGTCAGCTAAACTAATCACATCTGCCATGTAGAGTAGTTTCACATAACTCCCATTAACACTAACATTGTGTTCTGACTGAGTGGATGACAGAGCTACTCTGACCCTGATCAAGAGGCCATAAAATAATAATGCTTACTGCAGTATATCCTATGTAGCATGCAAGGCAGGAAACTCAAAGCAGGTACAGTTTGGGTTAAAATAAACAGGTGGACTTGGTTCTGCAAATGGGCTGGAGCGTCACACAAAGGCAATGGCAAGGCATGTAAATATGTCTTGTTTTATTATTAAAGTACAAATGCTTGGAATACCTTAGCATCTGGCTTGGTAAAGTCTAGTGAAACAACAGATCATTTTTTGTTGGGATTGAGAAACAAAAATCTTCCTGAATCCTTTAACTAGTGCTTAAAAGAGAGGCTCCAAAATCTGTGAAGCATGCCTGCAGAATATGTGACAGCCTTGTAATACACTATAATTAAATCAGCCATTCTAGGTGTCATCTATTTTCTACAGCAATCCCCAAATCATCACTTATACATTCAACCATTTGGACAATATTGACTTTCTGAGACCATTACTGTCAGACGGGCCCTCACAAATCTCCTTTTCCATTCATTGGGACAGTTCTACGGTAAGCAAGGCAAAATGAAATGTTCTATCACAGGAAGAAAACAACATTAGCTTTTACATTCCTTCTATAAATTACAGTTGGGTGACAAATTAAATATGAACGTTCACATTTATAAGAAAAAATATTCATTTAGACAGCGAACAAAAAGTGTAGCACAGGATGTTTCCAATGGGAAAAGAAATAGAAGAAGAACTTTGATTAGAATGAAGAATGTGAAAGTCATATATTGTGACCTTTTATTTTGAAAACTAAACCAACAAAATAGTGTTAGACTGCATCTTCTTCTTGTATAACAAAAAACTGGTGGCCATATATGAAAGAATGTTTCTTCATTGCACAAGTAAATTCCAACAGGGCCTCATTTATAAAACTTTGCATAGACTCTTTACTAAAACTCTACTTAAGCTCAGAAAATAACTACATTAATTAAAAAAACGTATGCAAAGTATTTTTTTTTACCTATAAAACACTGTGTCCATATATTTGCATGCAATTCCTGCTTTCTACACACACATACTAGACATGTGGTCAGGTGTTTTTGGATCACATCCCATCTCATACACACCCACTTTCTGCTATAGATGGTCGATGCTAAGTACCTTATGAGCACTCTGCATATAAATACGCTGTATAATTGGTGGCATTTGTAACATAACCAAAGGCCAAGTTTTCATCAAAATGACCAGAAATTAACTTTTTAATTTGAAGAAACACACACCCCATCTGTCTGGCCTCCAAACAAGAAAGCACTGCACAAGACCTTGTTACAGAACAAGGACGCCATCATATCTTTGCTCAAGGTCTCATGCAGAAGACGAGACCTCCTCACTCTGAATAAAGTTCATCTTCCTTGAATCATAAATGACTTCACAACTTTATATGTTGATTTAATCACCTCTTGTTAAATCCCAAAGTGTTTGTTTCTAGTACTTCTCCCTTTGCATCCTGGTTTGGCCGCCTGGTGAGTAAGCACCTGGAACCATTCTATCTTTTGACCTCAAGGTCAAAGCCTCTCTGCAGCGTTTGCAAGTGATTTCAGACACAACATTCCTGCCGTCACCTGAAGATAATCCAGTCTAGATGGGTCATAATCTGAGCTGCGTACGAGCTCCAGTACCAGAGGTCCACGCTATCAACAGTGTCCATTTCAACCTCCTGACCCCCTGGATCACTTGGGGATCTTTACATAAGGGTGCTAGACCAGCAAAAATTGTGTTGGATGGCTTTATAAACAAATCTCTATCTTATCAAACCATCCAGCCTCATTGATTTTACAACCCAGACACCACAAGCTTTCTCAGATACTTAAGGCAGGTTTTGCTAAAACATCTAGCTCACATTCCATAATTCATTTCATCATCTGTTATCCGTACAACCATCATCGCATTCATACTTTGTCATGTACAATCATTTAGTTTAGGAAAATATAATTAAAATAATTTTTATAACTATGTTCTTGACTCTGTCTGAATTAATGTGAAGTGTGCATGTTCCCTGAATAAGTCAAAGAAACTAAAGTCTTCTGATTAAATATTCAAAGACCAATCAGATTGATATTTCATATTAATATGGAATATCACATCAAATTGGTCATTTAATAGATATGTAGCCAATCCTCTACAATACATGTTTGTCAGGTAACCATGGCAATGGAAAAGTCTAAGAAATGCAGTTTCACTGGCACTAAAATGAAGATGCTTATGAGTGACATAGAAGCACGTAAAGGTGTTTTATTGTCTTACTTGAGAGAGCTGTAGGTGCATCGGTTCACCGCTGTGCCGCGTTTTAGGTTATAGTTTAATTTGCATGAACTGTCACCTGTCAGATGCACCAATAAGTAATTTGAAGACATACACATAAATGTAGTGTGATATCACTCTGGGACACAACAACGTTTTATTCAGTTTCTCATTTTGTTTCTCTATGAAGAGATGGGGGTGGGGGCTGATGGTGTTGTATGCACCCGGGTGGTCTTTAATTCTGAAAATGCGGTCTAAATTCAGTTGCCATCTTCAAAACATGCTTATGTCAGTATCTGTTTGCTTAAAGTTGCTCACATTTCCAGTCAGATTTGTCTTTAAATATCACAAAGTTTGCAAAGGAAATGACTTACACAATTTATAGACCCTGTTGTGTGCATAAAATCTCTTTATAAATGAGGTCTTCGTTCTGCCAGTTTAGGCAGATACAGTAGATTTGAGTGGCATGCATCAGAGCAGATTAACTATGTAACAGGAGTCTGAGAATCTCCCCCTGTTGTGTAGTCAAATGTATCGAAATTATAGTGCAAAATACCTCAGACAGCAGGTTAAAGAGGGGAGAGGCAGAAAGACAAAAGACAGATAATATAAAAGCAGTGCAGGGTGAGGAAAACAAAAGGGAATGGAAATATTTGAAAAAAATAAAATAAACATAAGCGGGAGAAAATAATGTTAAACTGCTCACACATATAAAGCTCTTAATAATCAAGGTCCATCATACATCAGTGATTTGATGTACCGTATGTTCCTAACAGAGCACGCTCTCAGACTGCAGGTTTACTGGTGGTTCCTAGAATACCTCAACACAGGATGGGAGACAGATCTTTTAGCTATCAGGCTCCTCTCTTGTGGAACCAGCTCCCAGCTTTAGTCCGTGAGGCAGACACCTTGTCTACTTTTAAGACTAGGCTTAAAACATTTTATTTGATAGAGCCTATGGTTAAATTCTGATGTTAGCCCAGATCTGGGTGAGTGGGGGAGTAGAGGGAGGTGGAGCGTACAGTCAGTAAAGACGGCTCTTCCTTTCCCTGCCTCCAGCATGCCTCCATCTAAAAGGCTAGGTTATCCAGAGTTATCTCTGTAGTTATGCTGCTATAGGCTTAGACTACTGGAGGATACACTGACCACCTTCCACACTCTTCTACATTCTTCAACAATTAATTTCTTAATTGCATTATTTTCTGCTATTTCAGCTGTTAACTTTATTTTTCCTCTAAGTGTTTTTCTCCTCAGGAGAAGCTACGATGGTGTTCTGCTGAGCTGTAGTAGCCTCATGGAGGGGGCCAACAGCTGGCACACTGCTGCTAACCACATAACATTCTCCCTCTCCTGATAACATTTTACTCTCTTTGACATGGAAGGTGCAACCACTAGTTCACCTGAAGAATTATTATAGATTCACTAAGATAAAGACAATAAAGTTTATCTCTTATTAAATAGAAAATTTACTAAGAAATCACAAAGTAGCCACATAAACATTACTTGGTAAATAAGTTTATTAGTAGTATTAGTCTGTGTGAATTCAAGTGCGTGTAAATAATAATAATTAAAAAAAACAAAGGAAAAGGTAAATAAAAAATAAATAAAATATTATAAATCTATAAAAACATTATCTTGATTTTCTCTAAACAGTAAGAGGTAAAAATTTTTTGGGGAAAACTATTCAAATACATGTAAAAACACACACACACACACACACACACACACACAAAAAGCCTCAGACCAGCTGGAAACTCCCTAATGGGTGCTTTGTTGGAATACTGACATGCAAACATGTAAAAAAAACACTTTTACTGATAACCTGTTTTCATTTAAATCAAATTAGATTTATCTGTGCTGTATTGTGATGGTTCTCTGTGGAATTGTTCAAACAACTAAAAATACAAAAAATATAAATTATGACAACACACATGTTCTTAATCATCACACTTTACAAACTGTCTTTACAAACAAAAATGAATTTGAGCTTAAAATATTGTAATTTGAGAATGAGCCGTCATTTTATAAACTCCCGTTTTTTCCTTCTGGATGTCATTTCTGTGATTATGCTTCAAGCACACAGATGGAGGTTTCCCATCGCTCACAGATCTGCGTTAGAAGACAGGAAGCA